TAGTTCTTTGCTATAAATTTGTTTTAAATGGATGATTATTACAATAATAGTAATTTGTGTTTATGGGGAATCGTACTTAAAAGAGAACATAGGCAGTAGGAATTTTATTACTTGATAATTTTCTTAAGCTGCTGCAGCAAAGACAGAAATGCACTTTAAATTTTACAGGTTTTTTTACATTTAACTGGAAGTAAAGTACTGTGGCTGTGTTGAGGACAAACTTGAAACAATAATAATAATAATTTGTGTTTATCTATGGGGAATCTTACTTAAGAACACGGGCAGTAGGAATTTTATTACTTGATAATTTTCTTAAGCTGCTGCAGCAAAGACAGAAATGCACTTTAAATTTTACAGGTTTTTTTACATTTAACTGGAAGTAAAGTACTGTGGCTGTGTTGAGGACAAACTTGAAATGCCTGTTCTTGAGGGACAGATTACAAAAATGCAAAAGGTGGAAGAGCAGAATCAGGTCAAGAGATCTCTTATGTGCTTGAAGCTGCTTGGATATCTTGGGACCATTGCTAAACGTGATTGGTGTGTGCTTAAATTTATCCTATGGCAAGTGTTCATTTAAACAGAAATTTTCTTTTGCTGATGTCATCTACAGTGGGAACTCTTAATTTCTGTTATGCTGGCTCTTAGTTCTCTTGAAATCAAGATACCAGATTCAGCTGAAGAAGCTAATGTGATTAAAACTTATCTAGATTGTTCCAGTACTTCATTTTTGCCTTTTTTGGCCATCTGAAGTATGAAATAAGTTTTGTTTGGTTTGTTTTTTGTTTTTTTGTTTTTTTTTTTTCATATTGCCTATATAATGTTCTGTAAGGCCACCCTGGACATTTGGTAAAGGTAGCAGGTAGTAAAGAACACTTGGCATTTCTTAGTTCTGTTTCAGCTTGGTAACTTGAAAAAAAAAAAGAAGATTTAAGTGAAATACTACCTCATCTTCATAGGTAGCGTATGCAATTGTCAATAGTGCATGCTGAAGTAATAAACCATTTATTTTCAGCAGTGTTGTTAATCTAATAAAAGATAGCTCAGTGTAGCACAGGAAGAAATTGCATATATGATTTGTTTTGATATCCCAAAGGCAATAGGAATAAAATCAGTTTGGTATAGTGACAATTAGGACTAAACAAATTTGGGCTTGATTAGGTCAAGTTCCACTGTAAAATAATGTGGTTGATGCTACTTCCATACTGTAAGACTTAACATGCTTGTGATGTTTTTGGTAGGTATTCTTGAAATTGCTTACTCCCTTCTATTTGCAGAACCTTTGTATTTCAGTTTTAGGTTGTTTCCTGATCAAATGGAGTGTTTTATACTCCAGTAAAATGAACTTAACTTCCTTACTCTTAAAATTACCTGGTCAACTTAGTAGAACTGATTCTCAGTGTTATACTTCAGTTTCTGTTGGAAGGTCATCACAAATTACTGGATAAGTACAAGAAAATGGTACATGCATTTATCAGTTCTTGCTGATTCAGAGGAGATTTTTGTGGAAATTGTATCAGCTGAAGGTTCAGGGAGTGGGGAAAAATCTTGTAGCATAGACTCACTGGTGAGGTGTACTTCATAGGGGTGTGTGAAGGAGTCAGGTTCACCATTGTACAACCTAACTGGGTTTGAAAAGTCCATGATACTCTACTAAGTATGAACTCTGTGTGCTGTTATTTCTGGTGTTCTGTCACTGCTCATACTGTAACACGTGAAGCAGTTGGTTCTGTGGGAAGCACAAATGAAGAGGGTTGGCTTTTGAACTCGCACGTTGCAATGATTGTGGACAGTTTGTAACCCTTTCCTCCGTTTTCTTCTACCTACTTTTTGCTTTCTGTTACTCATAAAGCTACATGTGACAATTCCTGAACTGCCTGTGTTTGGGTGGGTACCTTGCATACCCAGTGCAGGACAGCTGGGTGTTACCACTGCATGGCCAGGTGAGCTGAGTAGACCACCTTGTTTTTCACCTAGTGTGGGCTGAAGACATGTCTTCAGGAATTGAGTGTACCCTAGTTCATACAGTGTTGGGGTTTGCTGAGGGAAATCAGTCTTCCAGGAAACTCCAGCGTGTTGACAGAATGGGTTAAAAGTAGATGAAGCTCTGGGGGGAGAAGAAGGTTTTTTTTTAAAATACACAGACTAATAAATGAGTAGCTGTTTTGGTTACAAGCCTTGTGTCTCCACAAAACTGCTAATAACATGGAGCACAGTCCAGTCAGTTTGAAGTGCATGTAGACACAGTTGGTCTCTAGTTTGTATCTCATTCTTACAGATGTGTTGTGGTTTAACTCCAGCTGCCATCCAAGTCATGGTGTTCAGCCATCTCCAGGAGAAAAAGGCTTCATCACACCTTAATGATGACTTGTGTGGAGCGATGGCATTCATCTTCCCATCTCCCCCTTCCTCCTCCTTCCCTCAGATTTTATTGCTGGACATGATGTCCTATGGTCTTGGAATATGCCTTTGGTCAGCTGGGGTCAGCTGTCCCAGCTGTGTCTCCTCACAACTGCTTGTCCACCCCTGTCCTACTTGCTGGTGGGGTGGGATGAGGAGCAGAAAAGGCCTTGACTCTATCCAAGGGCTGCTCAGCACTGATGAAAAGATCCCTGTGTTACCAACACTGTTGCCAGCACAAATCCAAGAGGCAGCCCTATCCCAGCTCCTGTGAGGAAAATTAACTCTATCCCAGCCAAGGGCAATAGTTGCTTCTGTGTTGCACTTTGTGCCCTTCTGATTGTAAGCTGTGGACCTAAATAAGAAATTTGTGTCACCTTTTATTGTACTTGTAAAGGCCACTGGTTTTTCATCCATAGCTCATGTATGGAGTATTTTGTGTCTGGGGAGTATTTTGTGGGGTTTGGTTTTCTTTTGTATTTTTCATTCTTTGGAAAGTTCAGTGTTTCTGCTTGTTTTGAGGGTGTGACCAGTGGCTTCATGAGCTTCAGGGTGATGTCGAGTAGAGGAAGCAGTACGTGAGTATCTGGTCATGGGTTTGGCAGCTTTTAGAGGAGCATTTTGAGAAGATCAGAAGTCGTGAGAGCTGCCAGGTTAGGCAGGCAGGCAGTCTTCATTTTTCTAAAACTAACAGGGACTGACCTAAGATTTAAAACTGCATTTTAGATAAGCACTATATTTTTTTTTTTTTCTCTCTCTCCTTGCCCCCACTTCTGTACTTCTGAAGCCCACAAAGTAGCTGTGCCCAAATTTTCAAATTAAACTGATGTGGTGAATTTCATCCACCACAGCCTGACATGAAAACTATAGCATGGACAGCCTGGTTTGAACTTCAATGAATGTAGAAAAATATATGGCAGTCGAAGTGCTTATGAAATGAGATCACTTCTTCAGCAAAGTGATCCGTGCCTTGGGCTGCATTGTCCTTCCCAGCATTTAACCTTGCTTAATGTATTTCTGGATCTTTCTGTGTTAATCTGAAATTATTTCAATAACAGTTCAGGCCGGGCTAGCTGCCCAGTTGTGTGCAGCAGGGCCATTGTTCCCCACTCCCCCTTCCCTCTCCCTTTTTTCTTTTTAATCCACTACTATTTGTAGCTTTCAGCTTTTCCTCTGGAAGAGGAAACACCGTTATCGACTGTTGGCCACCAGGGACACAAGAGAGCTGTGCAGTAGTTGGTGAAGTGTTCTGGGGTCTGACTGTGACTGGTCAAAGAAGGAAGCACTGCATTATTCTCAAGATGAAGTGCCTGATCTGGGGGGTGGGGGAGGAATATTTCAAGCAAATGCTCCATTTAATAAAATTCTCATTTGTTAATGGCTCTGCTGTAGATAGGACAGTCAGCCAAGCCTCACAGGCAGCATCCCTAAGCAGGGAAAGCTGCCAAATTTCACTGTAACTGAAGAAACATTGATTCAGATGTTGTCAGGTGTTGTACTGGGATTTGCTGCTGCTAGCCAAATAAAAAAAAAAAAACCAACCTTTTCCAATGACAGTCAGCTGTAAAGTTCATAAAAGGGCTACATGTATTTGAAGAAGTTTATAGAAACAATTATTCCTTCTGGATGAAGTTTCAGATGCATTGCATTTTAATAATGCCAGATGAAGTTTATGAAGTGTTTCACACAACAGCAAGGTATTAGGTTTTATTTACTGTTTATTTCAAAAACTATAAGTCCTTCTGAGCTGCTTCATCTTCTCAATTTTAAAGTGCTTGCAGAAAACATATAGTTACTTGCTGAAGGATTTTTTTTTACAGAAAGTTAAATTACTTTTATTGTGGTGTTAGCAGCTGAAGCAATAAAATGATGCAGAGGTTTGAAAAATGTCAGAAAATATCAGTGTAATGAAGAATATATGCATCTTTGGCAATAAAGTTCTAACCTGTACATCTTCCCTTTGGTATTTTATGCAGTGACAAAGTCACTGCAACTTCTGTTACAAACTTTGAGGTCACTTAGAAGCACTTTTTTATTCTTGCTCTGCGTGTGGTCAAAAAATTACAAGCTTATCCATTAAATTCCTTTTATTTGTGGAAAAGTGGATTGGGCTCAAGGTGGAAAATTGGGAGGTGGTGGGAAAAAGAGTCCTTCAAAAGGCTAATTTTAAAAAGAAAAATGGAGGCATTCTTATTAGGAAATGAACTGTGTCAGTATTTCTTCAACACCATGGATATTGCACATCGTTGATGAAAGTGCTGTTAAAAGATTTTTAATGTATGGCTTAAAATTTCTTCAGACAAATCTTATCTGCTTGCAGTCAGGAAGTCTGGTGATGCTTTCAGGCCTTTTCTGTTTTGTATAACACATAATTACAGCTGCTTAAGAGTGTTTCTTTGGTTCCTAATGTAGCAGGAAAAAAAAACCCAGATAATCTTCAAAATATTATTGTCTTAATACAGACTTCTGAAGTATGTGTGCTAATCTTCCTTGATTACGTAAGGGCATATACAAAAAAAATTTTCTGTATTATATCTGGATGGGCTTTTCTTAAAATTCCTGATTTGAAATATGTCCCCTCTTTTCTTTTTTCTTCCCCTTAGATTTGAGTTCTGTGAACCTGCCTTCGTGGTTGGTAATTGTTTGGAAATAGCCTCAGACAGTCACCAGTATGACCGGATTTACTGTGGAGCTGGAGTCCAGAAAGACCATGAAAACTACATGAAGATTTTATTGAAAGTTGGAGGCATTTTAGTAATGCCTATAGAAGATCAGGTGACTTACTGACAACTTCCCCTTCTTAGTTTTTAGTATGAGAAATACATAATTTAAGGAATGCTTTTAAATGTGTATTTGGTTAAGTTAGTGTTCAACTAATGATACTTTGATTCACTGTATTGCTGCAGTTAAGCAGACATTAGCCTTTTTAATGGAGTCCTGAACTTGTTTCCCTGAAGCTTACAGGGCAGCCCCAGTATCCTGCTTCCAACAATCTCTGTGGCAAAACCATTTTCAGTGACGCTAGAACTCCATCATACTGTTTCCAGTGCATTATAATAGTAGCAAAACTGCTTTGAAACCTTCCTGCCACACAGCCATTTTCCATCAGTGCTTCAAAAATACCACCCTGTAAACCAAGAGAATTTATTTCAGAGAAATATGAAAAAGCTGTGATTAGTGGGACCACTGTAAGGAGAGTAAAAAACTGAGGGGAAAACATATGATTGATTTCCAGCAGTTTTCAGTGTTGCTTTTCCATCTTAGCTTCATTGTTTTTAAGACAGGTGCATTGTGTTAATAGAACTTCCCACTTTTATCACTTCCCACTTTATCACTTTATCCTTAGATCTCAAAAGGCTTTACAAAGGTAAGTATTGTTCTCCCTGTTTCACTAATAGGGAGATAAAGACAGATTATGTGACTTAAATTGATGTCCTCCTAAATACAGAGAATTACTAAAAGGCTTATTGAGAAACATGGTAGTTACTTAATTTGCCAAAAGGTATTGCCATGTTATGTATCTGCTTTGAAATACCAAAGTGATTTAAACATGCCTGCATGGTTCAGTTCCAGAAATACTACTTTTCAATGTGTGTTCATTGGACTAAGATGCTGTTAGTTGAAAGGGATGGAATCCAACTTAAAAAGTAGTCACAATTTGAAAGCAAAATTAAAACTACATGTTTCTGCCTTTGTAAACAAATGATTAGGGGACTACAGCATGTAAAGTATAAGGAGCAGCTAAAAGATCTGGCTTATTTAGACTGCTGAGAAACAGCTAAGGGAACAAACATTTCATCTTGCCTTGGCTTCTTAAAGGTGTGGAGAATTCATCTAGTAGGCAGGAGTCCAGTTCTCCTTGGAGGTGCACAGCAAACTGAAAGAAGAATGTTTCAGAGGGCAGCAAGAGACCATTCTGCCTGCATATAGGGAAATATTTTTTCATAAGGAGAATGGTTGAACACTGCATTCAGTTGAGATTCCCCAACCTAAGCAGTCCTAGGGGGGATCTTTTTTTAACTTCAACAGAAAAGCTTCTGAGCTGCCTGATGTAACTTGGAAGTTGGTCTTGTTCAGGCAGGAGGGAAGACTCCAGAGGTTGCTTCCAGTTGAAAATTATTCTGTAATCTTTTGGAAAAATGAGAGAAAACTAAGTTGACCTTGACCTTCATTTTCAAGCTGCATCACTTCCCTTTGCCAGGTACTCTAGTGACCAAGTAATAGTTCAGGGAATATGCAAGTCCTTTCTGTTCATGGAACAGCCTTTGTAAATGGATTTCGAAGCAAACCAGAAGAGCCGTGTGTTTGAACACCAGTTTTACACAGTATTGAGTCTGGCAGAACTGTAACCACTGATTGGTTTGGTGTTTGTTTTTATGCAGCTCACACAGATCCTGAGAACAGGACAGAACACGTGGGAAAGTAAAAACATCCTTGCTGTTTCGTTTGCACCACTAGTCCAGCCGAACAGGAACGACAGCGGCAAGCACGACGCCGTGGGACTGCGTAAGTGCCGTTCCTGCGCCTGGCGGGGCTGCTCACTGCCCACCCGTGGTGGCCAGGGGCAGGGGAGACTGTGCCACACAGCACGTGGTGGAACAGGAACACACAGCAGCTCACTGAGACCTTTTTGGCTCTTGGCACGTGTTCTGTGTTGCTATATAATTAATATCTTGAATTAAAATGAGATCGTGTTTCCAGCTTACTTTTCTGGACTTCTTTTCCCTTTAGGGAAACTCTTTTTCCAGTGAGGTATAGATAAAGTAGCAAGCTAACATGAGGTCTGTCAGGAGTACTAACTTTCCAGTGGTCTCCCAGAGGAAAATTAATTCTCTTCTTCCCCCTAAAATGAAAGGAATGGGTCTAAGCTGCAGCTGTGTGGTATGGTAAGATGTTAAGAGCTGAGTATCCTTGTGTCTGCAGCTGATGGAGTCATGACTAGCTGGTTTTATTAGTCATTGAGGCTGGCTTTCTAGCTGTAATGCTTTGGATTAGGTTTGCAAAGGTATTTAGAAAGTCTCTGAAGGTCCATCTGTTGCCAAGAGAAGATGGCACAATAAGGGAAAGGGGAAAACAGTGGCAGAGAAAGGTATAGGGATGAAATTTTCTGCCAGAGCAGTCAGGGATAAGAGTAGAGTAATGCACAGAGCGTCAGGACCACGTGAGAACAACGAAGGCAGCTGAGGTGGTAACAGGTTTCCTCTCCTGTTTTGTTCTGTTAACATACAACCAAAAGGAACTAATCCCCTGTCTGTCCTCTTTGCCTGCTTGTTCCCTGTATGTGTTTTTTAACTGTGAAATGGGTGAAAACCCTTGAGGAATCTACAACATCCAGGTTGCATTGCCTGTAACTGCTGATCTGGCTTGGTTTTGAGAGTGTGAGATACCTTGCCCAGGATGGTTCCTTACTAGTTACCTTTACTTTTTTTGTGTGTGTGAAGCATAGAAGATACTTTCCTTCATGTAATCAGTTCTTTTGCAGAAATAATTCATTTTAGTAGCTTTAACACTTGCTTTCTGACACCTCCAGATGTTATTTCCTTGAGATTGTTAGTTCACTACTGAAATGAACTTGATAGGCATGCAGCAGAAGTCAGTATATGAAACAATAGATTTAATTTGAAATACACTGGGTTTTATACTGATGCAGTATTGGATGTTTAATTATGAAAATTGTTTCTTCACTAACTACTTCCTTGCTCTAGGCCCTGTTAATTTTATGCTATTTTGTATAGGAAGGAAAATGCCAAGTGAGGAAGTTGAACAGGCTGCAGTTTGGGCTTGGTGTGCTTCTTTTTGGTTTTGTTCTCCTGGGGGTTAGTCAGCTGTAGCTCATCTAAGGCAGGCATCCACCAGCCAGGCAATACTTGGTCACCACTTGTCTGTTAGTGGAAAAAACATGGCTTTTGGCTTTTTGTTACTTGCTTTCTTATCTTTAGGACTTCACTAATTTTGATGCCTTTGCTGCTGCAAAGATATGGGTGACTTACGTGGTTGGTCAGCTGTGAAGTTGACAGGCCCTCCCTCATCAGTTGGACTCGAGAAATCAGGGAGAGGCACAGTGAGTAGAAGAGGGAGGCAGAAGAAGGGCACTTGCCTAAACAAGTGTGACCCAAGGGTAGAAATTGTTTCCCAGCAGCAGGATCCTAAAGCAGTGCCAGCCGTAGGTCCCAAGACTTGCCAGGTGCTAAAAGGTGACAACAGTTGTTGTGTGCTTTCTTAAGTTTATTTTCATAATCTGTTCATGCTTTCTGTTTCTCTTACACATCTGTCAGAAGACCTCTCAATTTCTTGGACTGTGCCACAGGGTCTGTCAAAGTGGCTCTACCTACCCTTGTTTCATTTGCGTGTTGCATCATGTACTAAAATTTAAATTTTTCTTGAGCATTAGTCTTGCTGCCTTGCACCTAATTTTTCTTGCTACAGGAAAATTTCACTTATAACTTGATTTTTATTTTTCATTTTAGCTCCATGTGCTGTTAGGAATCTTCAGGACCTAGCTCGGATCTATATCAGACGCACGCTTAGAAACTTCATAAATGAGGAGATGAAAGCCAAGGGCATTGCTCAGAAGGCTCCTCCAAAACGGAAACGCAGGAGATGTCGTAGACGCAGGATCAACACCTACGTGTTTGTTGGTAATCGGCTTATTCCTCAGCCTCTAGATAGTGAAGAAGATGAAAGAATAGAAGATGACAACAAAGAGGAGGAAGATAAAGATCACAGTGAGGTCTTGAAGCCAGAAGAGCCTCCTCGAAATCTGCTGAGGGAGAAAATTATGAGTCTACCATTACCTGAATCTTTAAAAGCATACTTGACCTATTACAGAGAGAAATAACTTGTCCTAAGTAGAAATAATGCCTACTGATAATTCCTTTATTCTTGAAAATGTAGCATTTATTAAGAAGTAGGTGGACAAATGATTATTAGTCTTTCATCGAGACTGAAGTGCGGCGATAAATCGTAACTTGTCTCTATCTTGTCTTTGCTACAAGGAAGACTTGCATTCAACAGTAGAATCCCTTTTTAAAAATCTATTTTTCTTTAAATTTTGAAAATGCTGTTTTAACTCTGATAGAAGTATATATTCCATTATGCAGCACTAATCGATATTTTGCATGGTAAGTCTTTTTTGATCCCTAACAGATTTGTATTGATAAAAGGATGAGTAAAATTTTATATATGCTAAATACTCGTTAAACATGTGCATCTGACTTGATGAGTAATTGGTCTGTATTTATTATTATTATTATTAGGGGAACATTTTAAACCTGCAGACACTTATCCTCTAATGTCAGAATAGGACCCTTTGAAAGTTTCTTTGACTATGGCTTTGTTGCAATCATTATTACTATGTTGGTATAGCTGTATTCCAACAACACAAGTGCAATAATGTATACAGACACTGAATGAGCTGGCGTTAATGAAACATGAAGACACAAGTTTGGACATGTCACATGACCCTGCTACTTCTGCTTTACATGTTTTGCCAAAAGATCTTGAGAAAAGTAACAGCTTCTCTCGGAGCCTTAAAGAAACATTTTGAATAAGGAGCCAAGCAATGCTTGCTTCAGCTCTGCTCGCATTGAACCCATTCTACAGGTGCAGTATTTCTAACTAAAGGCGCTTCCTCATTTGTGGGAAGTTTAGGACAGGACAATTTGCTTGTTTCTACAGCTCACAGCATTAAGTCAAAATGTTTGGTAGTACAAGACTGTAATTTAGGTTTCTGTCATCTATATTTACTGCTTTTAGGTAGACGTAGAATTTCAACAAAGTTTAGTTTGTCATGCTTATTGGGATAGCTATACTAGTAGTTAGAATTTAGTTAAAATTTGTTCAGCTTTTTCAGCAAATGCCCTTTAGGGAGTGAATTTTTTCCTTAACATGCATCTCCAAGAAGGAAGACTTGTGCTAGCCTATACTTTG